TTGACGATAAAACCTTCCAGCTGTTCTCAGATTCCCGTATTATCGCATCCTACAGTAGCACACAAATTTTCACATATTCATAAATGTTAAAGAAGAATGCACATACGGCGCATCTATAAAGCTGTATGGCTTCTTTATGCATCTGCATATTTATCTTTCTTCGATTGGAAAGGTCGCACCCGTTTCGAACCAACTGCAAAGAATGCTCTGTTCGGATTTGAATTGCACAGTACAGCGTTACAAACCGATGATGTCAGCTGCAGATGCAGTTCATGTGAATGCTGCAGCAGCTTCCAAACCACTCCGTCGAGACGGCTGTTCTGCTTATTTTGCAGGATCGTGTGTTTTAATTTCCGATGCCACGACTCCGCATGGTTCGACGTATGAAATGGTGCCCCATTCCTATAGCATCCTGCCCATTCAGCTTTCCGCGACGTGTACGTCTTTTCCACATACTTGAAAAGCTTGTGAATGAAACGCATATTAAAGTAAGTAAGATGTAAACCAACAGTTTTCATCTGCGTCGCGCCTATACTGGTGAGCCAGGCAAGGTAGTCAGCGTATGCGTTCTCAAACTTGAGCGGATCGGTCTCGATTAGCATTGTTTTTATTCTGCTTTGCGCAGCAGAAACACTGCTTACCTAAACAGATTGCAATCGTTGGTTCTCTCACAAGCTTGTGAGCCTACCCCTAACAATTCTTTGTGTTTCCGCTTGAAGCTTTGACTTATGTGGAAGGAGCATAAAAGTTTGTTGGCTCTACTTGCAGGGAACACCTTCTTAAAAGCGTTAGAAAAAACGTAAGTATCGTCCGTCATAACGAACTGCGGCTCGAAGTGCGGCACACATTCCTAAATCAATTTCCTCGCCTCCTGAGAAACTTGCTCGTTCCTATCTCGAACCCACCTTTACCAATTCAAAAAGAACTTCAACTTCTTTACTGGTCATTCGGTATGACAATAAATGAGCACACGGGAATCCATTTCCGGCATCGTCAGCTACTAACAGAGTAGCAAGCCGAAAACAGTATCGAGTGACGTTAAAAGTGTCATCAAACACAAGCCCTCTGTACCCGTAGCGGTCGAGATATTTCTTACCATTAACGGTGACAAATGCTGAAAACGCCCTCTATTACATCGCTTATTGGTTATACTCCCGACTAACCGAGCAAGAACCCATCTCCACTAGGATTCGATGTTTCACAGAGTTCCACTGCCGCGACTTGTTCTTGATCCTCGACTAGCGTTCTAAGCGACTGCCTATCATCTTTAGAAGTCATGCCTTCAACGAGCCCGTAACGAGCAGCTATATTACTACAAAGCAGGGATGAGGGTCATCTCCACAGTGAAACATCACAACTCACGCTACATCTCTTGCTGTGATGAAACAGAGTCGTGCTTGCCTTTGTGGAGCGACGTTCGACAACCACCTAGTGGTCCGCAATTTTGAAACTATCTAGATAAAAGGTACATAACAAAACTTCTTTGTTTGCGTGAAAGGATCTACGTACAATGTTTGTGGGAATTCCTGCTTCAATCATAGACCTTACAGTTGTCACATCGCTTTCTGATAAAGGAATTGTAGCTCTATTTAGCTCGTGTCCAACGTGACCGAAGCACGCGATCACATCTACGGTGCCGTCTTCCAGCTGCGTAACCTGAGGCACAAATAAAGTTGCACCCGTTGACAGATGCGTATTTCTCTGATACCTTTGCATAGCATGTGCAATATTTGTGCACCCTTCTGCTTTTTCTATACCTTTGTTTTCGCTCGGTGGCGTCAATGCGTGCACCAGCACCATTCGCATTGTGACACCCATACATGTGTACTATGCCCTTGCTACTTTTAGTAAAGCCACGTTTTACCAGCTTAGAGCAAGTTCTGCGTTCTTCTTCGTCCTTCCAGACCTCAACAATTGCAACTATTCCTAACACTCCTATGCACATCAAAACTACCTCGAAGGTAGACCACGATGCGAAGGTCTTTCTCTGAACAGTGAGATCAGCAGAAGGATGTGATAGCCGACAATGTTCAATCAAATCAAGATGAGAAGCCGATCTCTGATCGCAGATTGGACAAGTTACTCCATGGGAAGCATGAGTCGATTCTGTCGGATGAGCGGCGCTTTTGTGCTTCCTCAGTCCATCTTTTGAATGATAAATAGCTCCGCATTCGCAAGTAAACTCATTCCCAAACATAGTTCTTTTCAAAGCA